CCAAACCCTCCTTCCCCAATTTTTTTAATATTATATAGCCTATCAAATGGAATCCATTCAATTACTTTCGTATATGCTAAGGCCTTACGTTGAAACTCTTTTATGAAATTATCAATATCCATATTTCCACTTGTCCATCTTTGTGTTTCTATGTTTGGATCACATGTTTGACACCATGCCTCACTTGTGTTATTTTGGTTACAACGTTCGCAATTTCCATAACCTAAATAAAAAAATAATATAGCATGTTATTCAATATTAAATACTATAAACCATTTATTAAGAAGAGTACCTTTAAGTCCACCCGCTATTATTTGTATATTAATCATTTTGGAAGTATACATATGATCTGGATGACTTGATGAAATAGCTGGCAAAGTGTTAATTAATTTATCCGCATCCAAAAATTGCTTTCTAATATCATTATCATCCGAACTAGCTATCTTCTTAAGCCAATCGTTTATTGTATCATAAACCTTATAAGCATTAGGCCGTTTTTGCGGATCAGAATCCATGCATTGCTTAGTTAATTTAATATAGCATCCAGGAGTTCCAGGTGCAAATTCAGGACGTAATCCATTGCAAATACTTATCGCAAATTCAGTATTAAATTGCTCACCGTCAAAAGGCCTTTGTCCGGTTGATATTTCTGTCATAATAATGCCCAACCCATAAATATCCGCCGCTTGTGTAAACTGTTTGCCTGATAAAACTTCTGGGGCAACATATGGCATGACTCCATAGATATTACCTTTTAAAGCATCTTCCTTTCTAAACAATCTTAGGTCTGCGACATAAGATTGTAACTTTTTATTAGTGTGTTGGTCTTGCAAAATGTTACCACTATGAAAATTTGTATGAATGTATCCTGCAAAGTTGTGAATATGATGTAACTCATATGAAATATCTTTAAGCATTTGTAATTTAGTTTGCCATATAAGTTTACTAAAATTCTTTTTTAAATATTTATGAAGATTATTAGCATATTGAAATACCATCAAGTATTCACTTGTTTCTGTATTTTGAGTTATTCCATATATTGCGAGCTTAGTCCAATTTAATTTACACGTAATATGACTTTCATACTTAAAGTTCAAACAATGGGTTAGTTCAATAAACTATTAGACAAATTATAAAAGCAATAAATTTAACTTACTACTTTCAAAAAATTAGAAATATTCTCCTTAGAGCTGGTCAACGTCTTGAGCGCAACGGTGCTTGATGGCTCACGCACTCTTACAAAATTATAATCTCCACCATCAATTTTTCGTATGCCATCCAACCAGGTTGCTGAATATACAGACCCAAATCTTCCTTTACCGATTTCTTTAACATTAGATAATTTATCAAATGGAATCCACTCAATCGTAACTTCATATGCATAGGCTCTAAGTTGGAATGCTTTCATGTATTCATCAATATCTTTATTTCCACTCGTCCACCTTGTTACTATGTCTGGATCACATGCTAGACACCATGCATTATTCGTGTTATTTTCATTACAATGTGCACATCTTCCATACGAAGAATAGCTTTATAACATAAGGTATATAATAAAATATATGTTTTATTGATTTATCAGTTATACTATTTAAACCTTAAATATTTTCATGCTTACCGACTAAATTGATGTGAATGAGATGATTTGAAGGGTAATACGTAATAGTAAATAAGTATTTATGATCTTGATTTGTGAACTTTCAATTCTAGTCATGAATAAATGTTCTTATACTCACACGCTGAATGAAATGATTTGAAGGGTATTACGTAATGGTAAATAAGTATTTATTTTCTTGATTCGTGAACTTTCAATTCCAATGATTAATAAATGTTCTTTATACTCACTCACTGAATGAAATGATTTGAAGGGTATTATGTAGCGGTAAATAAGTATTTATGTTCTTGATTTGCGAATTTTCAATTTCAATGATTAATAAATGTTTCTTTATACTCACTAACTAAATTAATGCGAATGAAATGATTTGAAGGGCATTACATAATGGGAAATAAGTATTTATATTCTTGATTTGTGAACTTTCAATTCCAATGACTAATAAATAAATATTCTTTATACACACATGCTAAGCGAGATAGTTGATGCGAATGAAATGATTTGAAGGGTAATACGTAATTTATTTACGTTCTTGATTTGCGAACTTTCAATTCCAATGATTAATAAATTTCTTTATACTCACACGCTGAATGAAATGATTTGAAGGGCAATACATAATGATAAATAAGTATTTATGATCTTGATTTATAAACTTTCAATTCCAATGATAATAAATATTCTTTATACTCACTCGCTAAATGAAATGATTAATGCGAATGAAATGATTTGAAGGTAATATGTAATGGTAAATAAGCATTTATGCTCTTGAATTGTGAACTTTCAATTCCAATGATTAATGAATGTTCTTTATACTCACTAACTAAATTAATGCGAATGAAATGATTTGAAGAGTAATATGTAATGGTAAATAAGCATTTATGTTCTTGATTTGTGAACTTTAATTTCAATGATTAATAAATGTTCTTTATACTCACTTGCTGAATAAAATGATCAATGCAAATTAAATGATAAATAGTATTTATAATCTTGATTTGTGAATTTTCAACTCCAATGATTAATAAATGTTCTTTATACTCACAGACTAAATTAATGCGAATTAATGATTGAAGGATATTATGTAATGGTAAATTAATGTTTATTTTTTTAATTTGTGAACTTTCAATTCCAATGATTAATAAATGTTCTTCATACTCACACGCTGAATGAAATGATTTGAAGGTATTTATTTTCTTGATTTGTGAACTTTCAATTTCAATTATTAATAAATGTTTCTTATACTCACTCGCTGAATAAAATGATTTGAAAGGTATTATGTAATGGTAAATAAGTATTTACTTCTTGATTTTAAACTTTTAATTTAATGATTAATAAATATTCTTTATACTCACTCGCTGAATGAAATAATTAATGCGAAATGAAATGATTTGAAGGGTATTACGTAATGGTGAATAAGTATTTCTTGGCTTGTAAACTTGTTTTGCTGACTTTAATTCCAATGATTAATAAATGTTCTTTATACTCACCAACTAAATTAATGCGAATGAAATGATTTGAAGGGTATTATGTAATAGTCAATAAGTATTTATGTTCTTGAGTTGTGAACTTTCAATTCCAATGATTAATAAATTTTATTAATACTCACGGGCTAAATTAATGCGAATGAAAATGATTTGAAGGGTATTACGTAATGGTAAATAAGTATTTGTGTTCTTGATTTGTGAACTTTCAATTCCAATGATTAATAAATTTTCTTAATACTCACGGGCTAAATTAATGCGAATGAAATGATTTGAAAGGTATTACATAATGGTAAATAAGTATTTATGTTCTTGATTTGTGAACTTCAATTCCAATGATTAATAAATGTTCTTTATACTTACACGCTGAATAAAATGATTAAATGCGAATGAAATGATTTGAAGAGAATTACGTAATGGTAAATAAACATTTATTTTCTTGATTTGTGAACTTTCGATTCTAATGATTAATAAATGTTCTTTATACTCACATGCTGAACGAAGAGTATTACGTAATGGTAAATAAGCATTTATGATCTTTAACCAATGATTAATAAATGTTCTTTATACTTACTAACTAAATTAATGTGAATGAAATGATTCGAAAGGTATTATGCAATGGCAAATAAGTATTTATGAACAGGAGGAGCTGTCGATATTACACGACTGATCCTTCACCCGGTATGCAACATATAAAAAAATTAATTTACAATACCAGATCATTCCGCTAGTACATGCTATGATTATAATCCCACACCATTTTATTATAATAAAAATGGTGTGGGATTATAATCAGGGCTAAAACGACACATAGTAAATACCGGCCATTCAATAAGTGTCGTTTTTGATTCATATTATATTAAAATTTTATTACTCATAAATTTGATGTATCAAAAATGATACTTCAAACAATGGGCAGCGGCGCAGTAAATGGTCGCCGTATACTATGTGTCGTTTTAGCCCTGATTATAATCATAACGGAATGATCTGGTATTGTAAATTAATTTTTTATATGTTGCACACCGGGTGAAGGATCAGTCGTGTAACATCTACAGAACTTCAAATGTTCTTTATACTCACATGCTAAACGAGATAGATAGTTAATGCGAATGAAATGATTATTATTAAATTAATTCATTGTTTTTTATACTCACGGGCTAAATTAACGCAACAATAAATATATTTATTTATGAACTCAATTTTTGGTGGTGAGATATAAACTATTAAATGTTTTTATGCTTACTCCCTGAAAATTAAATTGTCATCTCAACTTTCAAAATAAAAAAATTACAAAAATCCTAAAAAATTAAAATTAACTTACTTTTTAATCCATTCCCAAAATTTATTTTCATTCTTTTCCACGCCAATTCCATATCTGTAACAAATAGCAGTTTTCCAAGTTCCCATAGAATTATCCGTCTCAGCAGACTTCAGATAATATGTAAACGCTTTACACTTATCAATTTCGACTCCAATTCCTAAATAATAACAATAACCAACTTGATATTGATACTTTCCGTTAGAATTATCCATGTCTGCAGATTTTTGGTAATAAATAAATGCTTTTTTTTCATCCTTTTTAACTCCAATTCCGTATTCGTAACAATAACCAAGCCAATAAACTCCATCTGGATTGTTCGTATCTGCCAATTTTTGACAATTGATGAAATTCAGTTCTTCCATTTTCATTTTGCTTTATGAAATAAAAAAGAAGATTAATGCAACATACCGCCCGATACGTATCGATATGTATTTTTTATTTATGTGGTTATACAATATCCTGGTAGTTGCAGTGAAACTAAATTACGTAAGGTGATTATGTTACACGAAGCAGAATTTCAGCTTTAAGGCATAAACATGCTAAACGTATTCAAAACATTCGAATTGCTCTGGCTGAAAATAAACTTAAAATGGCTGCTTCAAGTCCTACCTCTTCTACTTCTGCTAGTTCCGAATTTGATCGTCTACAAGATCAATTAGATGCTTTTCATACTCAACTTATATCTCCTCCTACTTATATGATTGATACTGATGATTCTGAAAATGATGAACCTATACGTATCCATGGTCTAAATTGTACTGATGATCATGTTGATGAACTTACTGAACGTTATGGTAAAATTGAATCTAATTTAACCATTTTTGAAAGAAGCTTAAGTGAACCTGCAAAAAAAACTCGTGGAAATGAAGCTATTGATCGTATAAACGATTTAGAAGCTGAATTCGCTTCAATAAAAGATTTAAATGAAGAAAGAAAACGTGATCTACTAAATATCAAAGAAGGGAGAAAATTTGCAAGGAGCGCTCATGAGATTCGTGATAAACTTGATGAAGTTAAAGGAAAAATGAGAAAGGGTGATACAACAACTGATGCCTCAATTCAGGAATTGGATGCTCTTATGGTCGATGCTAATAAAATGCTAAATAACTTAGAGTCCTCTTATGCTCATTTCATATCACCTGAAGCTCAAGATCAAAGTTACAGAGAGGCATTTAATAATTATAAAGAACAATATGTTCGTGTTCAAGCTTGGATTGAAGAAGTACGTGTTTTGTTTAGAGAAACTGAACATATACGTTTATGGATTGATGAACATATCAATACTTTGGAAAATGTTCCTCAAATTGATGTTTTCCAAGAAGGTGAAGCACCTGCCACCCAAGAACAAGTTGATGAATGGCAAAAAGACTATGATGAACTAGAAAGAGAAATTGAGAAGTTTGATGCTGAAAACATGACTCGTTTAAGAGCTCATGTGAAAAATATAATGGGAAATGAAGTGGCTCCTTCGGACTCGATGTCTCCGGCTGATACTATGATTATCTCCATTACTTTACAGACGTTAACAATTCTTGATCAATTATTAGAAATGTTGAAGCGCCGTGAAAATGAATTAATAGTATTGGCCTTACGTGTAAAATGGGAACGTGAGCATGGTAAAGCATTGAATGTTCGGTATAGAATAACAAGTAAAATTAATGAATTTATCCTAAATCGAGGCAGGTGGAAACCACCAATTTCACCTAGGGAAGATGGCTGGTTTAATGACGCACCTCAACCTAGACAACGTGATGTTACATTAGAAGCTCGAACATACAATAACAATATCGAAGACTTTGAAAATAATATTATTCCTCTGACGTGTGAAATTTTTGATGAATTAGTCAATTCATCGAATGTACCAGTTCCAGAACATTTACTTGTGAGGCAAGAAAATCTTGAGGAAGAAGATATTCAAGAATTAAAAAACTATTTTAATTTCGCCAAAGACGTTCTAACACAACGAAAACAAGTTCTAGAGTATGCAGAGACTGTGGAAAACATTCATACAAGAGGAATTCGTTTAAGGGATGAATTGATTAAGGAAGAATCAAATCCACGTGATGGATCAGTTGAAAAGGATTATATTGCACGCATTATTGAACTCAACAAACGAGTAGAAACTTCTTGGAATTCAATGGCTATGCAAATTATCTATCCAGAACATGAAAGTCATGACCCGGTCGAAAATGATGCCGTTCGTGAAAGTGTTTCCGCTTATCATAAAAATTTACAAGAGCTGCTTCAATAAAAATCATCAACGTGCTTTAGGATCGTTAAAATGGCTGAGGAGTATAAATAAGAAGCCGCTTGTCTGGAAGAATAAATTACCAAAAGAATGATTTTGTTAAAAATCGTAAATTCGGCATCTTCCAAAACCTTGTAAATCCTTTGCCAAAGATGTAGAAGATTATGTTGCCGGAAATGCTCAAATAACTATGGATGTTCATGATTTGTCAAAGTTCCTCACGCGAAAGTTTCTGAATTAATTGCTGAAGTAAAAGCTGTCGGAACAAAATGTGTAAATGTTATGTGTCGTTTATTGATTCCTGTCAATTCGGAATTGACATGTATCATTTATGAATCCAAAGAATAACATATGTCACTTTGGAATCGTAATGAATTTCACCGATTAACGAACGTTCACGCGGTACTCGTTAAAAATTTACATATAATAAAATAAAATTGTATATAAAAAATCAATGCATATATAATATATATAATATGTAAGTGTAGTTACATATTCATAATGCAGATTATTGTCCGGAGCGTAACGGAGGACGATCTACGGTTCATTGAAATTATCCCTTCGTCTGTAGGCCAATCCAGGGCAAATTTGCCCCGGATTTTTTTAATATATGGGATCTTTGCTAGGATTTTTTTTTTTAAAAATAGATTTATTATGTTTTTCTTAATAAAAATCTCGTGTAACAATGGCTCGTAGGGTCATTTTCCTAGCAAAGATCCCAATATATGTTTATAAAAAATACAAACTGTTTAATTTTTTTTATATTTAATATATTTAATCTATAAACTAAGGGAGAGGGAGGTATTCTGGAGTTGCTCATATAAAACTTTTCAGGAAAAATTATTTGTTTTAAAAATTTAATAAGATATATTGGTTATCTAATTTATTATCTTCTGATATAAAAAAAAAATCAAAATAAGCAATAAAAAACTTCGCAATTTAAAAAACTGCTATGATTTTAAAAGTGGAGGGTATTATGGCACATGTTGAATTAACAGCAGGTACATAGTAAGTATTGTGATATACTGTATATAGTAAAGCTCAACAATTTTACATGAATTAATAACTAATTAATAACTAATTAATGACTAATTTTTTTTTTTATGTAACCATTTTTCTTTTTTTTGCTCCTTCTCAATTTTTTTACATGCTTTCTCTGCTTTACGATTAGCATGTTTTTGAGCAGCCTCTTTTTTTCTTTTCTTTATATTTTTTCTTTTAATACATTAAGAGACTTTTTATTAGTAAGAAGTTTGAAAAACAGCATAGTCTTTTTTTTTTTGGCTGATTGGACTCTTTCTTATTGCTTTGTGTCAGAACTTGAAAAGTAGGATACTTGAAAGCTAGTTTTAGAAAGCAGGTACCAGGATTTTTGAATATTTCAAGTTTCTTTTTTAGTAATGCATTTTTCCTTTTTAGAGAATAAATTTTAGCTAATAGTTTATTTTTCTGAAACAAAGATAAAGAAAATGGCATAGAAGAATAACTTTGTTGAGAGGATAAAGATAAAGAAAATAGTGTAGAAGAAGAATGACTTAGTTGAGAAGATGAAGATAAAAATAATGGTATAGAAAAAATATTTATTTGTTCTGTAGATAAGAAAAGATCAAGACAATCGGGGCTAATAACATTAGGGTTAAAAAGCCAAATCCCATAGTTTTATAAGTATTAGATATTATTGAAGGTGTATAAGTTCTAATAAATACTTGTTCAAACATTTTAGCAAATGTGTACTTAAGTTACTAATCCACTAGTTTTATAATGAAGTTGATTGCAGTCTTTGCTATACTCAGTTTTAAATTTAGTAAAAGGAAGTTTGGATGGTTGGAAAATATGTGTTATATGAGAAGAAAGTGCATATAGCAATTCTATTTTGATAACAATAATTAATGCTCATATAATTTATATGGCTTTTGTGTCTATCAAGAATTAAGAGAACTAGACAACAAGGAGAAATAAAGTTTGTAAAATGTTTAATATACATTTAAAAAAGTTTTTCATACATATATTCCAAATCAGTAAAGTTTATAACCATGCTAAGTAGTAAACTATTTAACAAGCCAGAAATTGCATAAATACCTTTGTATATAATTAATAGAAGGATATAGTTACTAGTAGCTGAAATAGTTGGTGCAACAGAAATATAATCATATGAGTTGCTATATGCAACTTTATAAACCTGATGAGAACCTTTGGTTACAAGAATCTTTTAAACCTTGGGAGCTATTATGAAGCCAGTTTCATCTATATTTCATATACAGTCTGGGGTAAGTAAATTATCTTATTTAGCTTGTCAAAATGATCTTTAACAATAGTTGGATTGGCTCTTTGTACACATGCTTCAGACAAGGCCTGAGGCACTCAAAAAGATAAATCAGGATGATCTTTTATAAAACATTTTTACCAGGTCCACTATCTTTAAAAGAATGTTTATAGCTATCACTAATAATATTCATAATGCAATAGTTTACTCCTAACTTTGTAAGATTAAATCCTAGTTTTTGCATATTTTTGCAATAGTTTACTAATTGCTCTTCATTTAAGATTGTTGCAGTGCCAAGACAGTTAGATACATCATCTTTGTTAACTGCATATTTTAGAGTTGTTAATATGATACTGAATTTTAATACTGCAGCTCTTATATAGTCAAACCTTCATAAATGCAACCTCCATAAATGCAATACCTCTCTAAATGCATGTTTCTGGCCTGGCTATAAGAAATCATTAGTGCTAAATGCACATTCTATATTTTGTAAATACATGTTTATTCAGAAGATTTTTATATTATACTAACCTCTCTAAATGCATGTAGCCAATTAGAATTCAGTATTCAAATTGTGTTATACAAGCCTGCAAATCAAATATTAAAAGTTGCAATTTGATTAGCTTTTTTTAAATGCAAACCTCTCTAAATATACGATTGAAGCTGATTTGTACATATTGTATTTATAGAGGTTTGACTATACTAGGTAGCTTGGAGCTATTAAGTGCCTTAAAAGCTGCCTCAATAGCTTTTTTATTTGTAGTCTAGATAACTTTTTTAGAGTTTGATTTATTAATAGAATTTTTAGTTATGATTTTAGGGAAAGTGGAATTTTATTGCAATTTGTTTTTGCCATTTTTTATTTTTTATTTTTTTTTTAATCATGCAATATTTTTTTAGCAATTTATATTTTTATAATGCTTATCCCTTAATTGGTAGAGATTTGCAGGCAAATTTGACTGCATAATTACTATAAATATATCTCTGATCTACTTTTTTAATTATTTAAAATATTTAAATAAAAGTTAATATGATAATATTTGAAAATAAGGATTATATTTTTGCAATATTTATATTTATATTATAAGACAAAAATTTTAGTTTGCTTATAAGCTAAAAATAGACAATTTTAAAGAAATTTTTTAACTAA